GTCCAGGGGCAGCTTGCGCTGCAGGTGGGGGGTGAACAGACCCGAGGAGAGGGGCCCAGAGCGCAGGACAGGACGAGTGGGCATTGGGGAGGGCTGAGAAGTGGAACTCTGGGGCCCAGAGGCCACGGCTGGCCGCGGCCGAGGAGCCGGGGATGCAGGGAGCCGTCCCTCAGGGAGCCCTGAAGCCGCAGTGGCACGGGCCCCTGGGGGTCCTCCCGCACGGCCACTGCCTCTGCCGCTGTCACCCCGCCCCGGGCTGGCCGGTCAGGCAGGTGGCGGCAGCCGGCCAGGAGCCGTCCCGCAGGGGGCAGCCAGCAGGGTCTCCCAGCCGTCAGCAAGAGCCCCTCCTACTGGGCAGCTGCCTGCTCGGCCCTCAGCTCCCGCCGTGGACGTGGCTGGACGGTGGCACGCCGGGAGCCCCCTGCTTCTGCAGGCAGCCGGCGTCACTGCTGGGAGCCCTGGAGACAGAAAAGATGCCCCCCGAGGCCCCCCCAGCCCGTGCTGGAGCCGCCAGGGGCCGGGGGAGCCTCAGGGTGGTCCGCACAGCCTCCCGGCTTGTCTGAGCTTGGACCCTCATCCGCAGACACATCAGAGCAAAACCTCTGGGGCCGGGTGAGGACGGAGCTGCGGGGTGTCCCTGTCTCCAGGGACTTCTACGAAGTGGGACGGGTCCTGAATGTCAGAGGGCCGAGGCCGCGCTGCCCCGCGGTTGAGGTTGGAAGGAGCTGAACCCCCTCTGGGCCGGCTGGGGGGCTGCAGGGCAGCCGGTGGGTGGGCCTGGTGGGCGCTGAGCCGGAGTCAGAAGGCTGCACTGGGGGAGCCCCGCCCGGGACCTCGGGGTGCACCCGTGAGGCTTCCTCTGACGGGATGCGGCCACCCACACCGGGCCAGCTGCTCTCCAGCCCGTGACGTGAGCTTCAGCCTTGTGACCCAGACTTCACCTCCGGCACCCGTTAGCTCGTTTTGAATTGTCCTTGCGTCCACGGCCGTGATGCCTGTGGCCCTGCCTGCCAGGCCCCTGGACATGTGCAGAGATGAATCCGTGGAACTTGTGGTCACTGCAGAGGGTGGTCATGGCCCAGAGGGACAGAGGGCAGGGGCCTCAGCGAGGGGCTGCTGGGGCCACAGTGGTCAGTACTGGCCGTGGGAGGTGGTGCCGGGAACTCCACCCCCGGATTCCCTGCCCGTCACCCCCGCCCCAGCCTGGCCGGTCAGGAGCTCAGCCCACTCGCCTAGGTCAGCCCGGAACAGGCGGGCGAGGCCTTCGGGCCCCAGGTGCAGACAAAGTGAACCAATCAGGCTTTCCACGCCGCTGGCCTCTGCGGCCATCAGCTGCAGCCTCGGGGGTGCGATGCGGGGGCGGGGCGCGGGCCACGGCGCCCACCTGGGCACGGCGCATGTGTGAGTGTGCACACCTGGGCCTGGAGGCGGCCACCTAGGCGCGGCGCATGCGTGAGTGTGCACACCTGGGCCTGGAGGCGGCCACCTAGGCGCGGCGCATGCGTGAGTGTGCACACCTGGGCCTGGAGGCGGCTCTGGGCCTCGCTCTGCTGCAGACGCCGCGGCTCGGAAGAGGCGCAGGCAGAAGAGAACGCCAGGGAGCGCCTGGGAGGGGGTAGGGTTTTGCGGGGCTGGGGTCTCCCCAGCTCCCAGCCGCCAGCCCCGCCACCACACAGGGGCATGCGAACAAGTGGGGTCCCCCCTTGAGCACCCGGGACCTCCTGCCCGCGTCCGCCGCCAGGCCGCTCTCCCCTCGGGCTGCGCGCAGGCGGGGCGGGCGGGCCCCCGGGGGGTGGACAGCAGCCTGCCCCGGCCTGTCCCTGGCTGCGAGGACAGGGCCCTCTCCCTGGAGGCCCCCAGCAGGGAAGAGGTCCGGAGCGGTGGGGGCGGCTCTCGGCCCACACTTCTCCCTGCTGCACCCTCGCCCTGGGCAGCACCCCCGGCAGCGCCCCAGCCCCACTGCAAGGGACGCCGGGCTGTGGCTGAGGCCATGTGAGGAGGGGGTTGCAACTGGCCCCCCATTCTGTTTCCACTGTGCTGGGACAGGCGCCTGAGGGGCTGCTCCCCAGCCTCCCAGGCCTCCCATCCCCTCCCCGCGAGCCGGACTCCACCACTAGTCCTCTCTGTCCCCCCACCTGCCACCAGGGGGCCCTCAGCAACACCTTGACCCCCCTTTTCTCTAGAATTGGGGTGTAGGTAAAGTCCACCTGCTATGGACTGAGTCTGCCCCCAGCTATCTCCGAGGGAGCCCAGCCCCCCGTGTGATGGCATCAGGAGGCCCTTTGGGGGTGATTAGGGTTAGTCGTGGCCATGGAGTGGGGTCCCGGAGCGTGAGCGCTCCCGCCTGTGAGGACGCGGCGAGGTGCCCTCTGCAGCTCAGGGTGCGGGGCCTGCTTGGCCAGTGCCTTGACCCTGGAGGCCCGGCTCCCGGCGGCACCGCGGACGAGGCTCCTGAGGGCCGAGGCGGGCCGGTTGCCAGTGCAGGAGAGAGGGAGGCTGTGTCCGCGCGGGGCCGCAGGCGCAGGGCGGGCGGGGGCCACGGCAGGGGCGCTGGCCCAGGCGTGGGGCGCAGGGCGGGCAGGGGCGTCGCTGGCTTTCTTGGAAGTGGGGCTGAAGGTGCGGGGCTGCCAGTTACTGGCCGCGTTGCCGCCGAGCGGGGCTTGGCTTCGGGCCGCTGGCCGGGGCACGGTCAGGGTCTGCCTCTGCTCCCGGGCTGGCCGCCTCCCTTGGCCTGGCCGACCTCTCGCAGGCCCCCGCTCCTGCCGAGTGATGACCCTAGGGGTTCACACCACCTGCTGGGAGCAGAGGCCGAGGGTGTCCCTCTGACCCTGGCGCCAGCCCTTGGGGACACCCGTGCGTGGGGCTGCCCAGTCAGGCGGGAGCCAGGCCTGTGCCAGAGGGTGGGGACCGGCCCATGGGCTGGCCCGGGCAGGGCTGGCGTGTCCGGTCGAGGCCTGAGGGCGGCGGGCTGATGCGCTCAGCGCCCGGGAGCCTGCTCCGCAGCGGAATGGGCGGTGGTGATGCTCTGCGGCGTGAGCCTCTGACTCGCAGCAGGCCCGGCGGCTGGGCCTCTGTGGGGTGCCCCCCTCACCTGTGGGGTCCCCCCTCACCTGCTGTCCCGCCCGAGCTCAGCCCTTTGCCCCCTGAGTGGGAGCAGCATGGGCCTGAGGTTGAGGCGGGGCCCAGCTGGTCATCCTGCCCTGTGCTCCCCCTGCGGCCTCCACGCGTGGGTGGGGCCCATCCTGCTGGCTCCGGGCGGCTCCTCGGGGCAGGGGCCTCGTCTGTGGCCTCAGCTCCGCCTGGCGGCTGGGCGGCCACGGCCGCATGTCCAAGGAGGGGGGCAGGCTGCCTCGTGGCTCGGAGCGGGCACCATGGGGGTGCCCAGCCCAGGGAGGCTCTTCCGAGGCTTCTTTCTGGCGGGCACTTTCACTCCTGTGCTGGGGGCTCCCTTCTGCACCCCAGAGCTTCCCAGATACGTGGAGATGCATTTTCTCACATCAGTTTAGGGCTCGGACACAGTTGAGCTCAGGGCTTGGGCGACTGTCTGGCTTGTCTGGCTTGTCAATGTCGCTGCTAGTAGCCGCTGCTGACCTCGTGGGGTCGGTCAGCGGGCGCTGCGGACGGCGGCTGCTGGCCCAGCACGGTGGGTGTGGACAAGGCGTGTCACTGGGTGACACCCCCGGGCACTGTGCCTTCCCCACACCTTGGGCTCACGCCTCTGTTCGGGGACTGCCGCTGAGTGGACCTGCCAGGGTCCCGGGCGCAGCCCCTCGGCCGTGACCACCCCCCTAAAAGCCCGGGGTCCGTGCGCGAAGGCGGCGAGCGGAGGCAAGCGAGAAAGCGCCGTCCGAGTGGTAAAATAATGTTTTATTCCAGGGTGAACCCGCGCAGCCATGCCACGCTCCGCTGCCCCGGCCAGCCCGGCCCCCTGCCCACTCAGCTCGTGGGCTCAGCCTCCCGCCCAGACACTCGGCCCCTGTGTCAGCCCGTTCACGCGCCCCAGACGGGCTCCACGGCCCGAGGGGCTCCCAATCTGACCCCACGGCCGACAGCCAGGCTCGAGGGGCTGAAACCCTGCCCAAGCCTGAGCGTGCTGGACGCGGCGCTCCTGCTGGTCAAGGCGCCCTCCAAGCAGGCCCAGGCCCGGGGCGGTCGCCCGCAGCCAGGCCGTGGACCGTCCTGAGGAAAGCACAGTACCGACCTCGCCCAAACGGGCCCTCTGCAGGGCGGGGCGTGCCCGGAGCGTGCATGCAAGCGCAGCCTCGAGGGCCGGAACGCAGCGCTGGCCGGGACCCCCGGCTTTATATACAACAGAGGGAGGTGCCCCTCGGACGCGGCTGCAGAGGCTCGGGGGTCTCACCAGGCGAGCCGGGCCCCTGGGGGCGGGCGCCCAGCCGTCCCGGGCCGGGCAAGGTGACGCCAGCACAGCCCCGCCTGCCTCCGAGCGCGGGCACAGGCAGCGCTCTCTCTCGTGTGTCTTCAACCCACTGGCCCACGCACCAAGGGGGGGAGGGCGGGGCACTGGAAGTGGCCGTGGGGCCCAGGCCACGCCCTCGGGCAGCGCGGGGCTGCCTCGCTCAGTGACCCCAGTGACCCGCCCCAGCGGCGCTCCCCTCCGCGTCCTGAACGTCCCCACCCGTCTGCGGTGACCCTGCGGGAAGCGGGGCTGCTCCGGCCTGTGCGCAGAGCCTGCACAGTGGGGGAGGGAGCCAAAAAAAAAAAGCACAAAACAAGGCCAAGACCAGAGACAGTGTCAGGTAAAAACCATAGAAAAATACCGATTAATTCCGCAGGGAGGGCGCCAGCACCGCGCGCCGGGCAGGGAGGCGGGCGCCCAGCTGGTGCTGCCGGCGCTCCACGCGGGCGCGGCGGGCGGGCGGCCGGGACACCCTCACGCGGGCCTGGCCCTCGGGGCGGGGGCGCCGGTCACGCCGGGCAGGCGGCGGCGGGGGCTCCAGCGCCGTGGAAGACCTGGGGGGCGCCGCGTCTCCACGCCGAGGAGCTGGTCCGGAGCGCAGCCGCCCGCGCGGGACACGCATGCTGTGCAGGGGGCGCCGCTCAGTCCTCGTCCTCCTCCTCCCGGGCGCTGGCCGCGGGCGGCTTGTCCGGGACCCTGAAGCAGTCCACGAAGAAGTTGACGACGGCGCGGTGCAGGTGCTGCTTGAGCGCGTCGCTGTGGAAGTAATGGCTCTCGTCCGGGTAGATCTGCGGGGAGGGGGCGCGGTCACGGCCTGGCGGCTCCCGGCGACCGGGTCTGACCTTCGGCCGCGTCTCCACGTGGGCGGCGCGGCCCCACCCCGGGTCAGGACCCCCACAGGAGTGGAGGGGGCGGCACCAGCTCCAGCCCGCACGGGCGGAGGCCCCTCAGCCGGGGCTGGGGCATGGCCAGGGACACCCGCCCGCCTCCGGGAGCTGGAGCGTGGCTGTCCTGGGCTCGGGTGGTGGGACAAGGCTGACAGGGGGATGGGGCACAGAGCCCCACCACCCAGGTGATCACCCCTGGGCCCATGGGCGCCAGTCGCAGTGAGGACCAGGGCAAGTTTGGGGGACCCCAAGGGGCCTGGCTGTTTCTCGCCCTTTGAATCATTCCCTGCTCGCCTTTGGGGCCGACAGCCCCTCCCCTAGGGCAGTCCCCAGTGTTGGGGTCCTGTGTGCACCACAGCGTCAGACACCCCAAAAGGGTAGGGTGTGGGGGGCATGTCTGCTACCCCAGGGCCAGCCCCGCCCCTGGAGTTGGTCCTAGACATAGACTCATGGGTGTCTGCGAGACTCACTGTGTCTGTGGGGGGCGCCTTGGTAGGGCCAGGGGTGGGCTCTGGTGCAGGCCTGGAGGGCTCTGGGGTGACCCTGGGGTGGAGTTGGGGGATGACCCCTGGAGTGGCCCTGGCGTGGGGACAGGGGTGGGCTCTGGGTGGACCTGGGGTGACGCGGGGTGGGCCTGGGGGTGGGCTCTGGTGAGGGCCCTGGGGGGCTCTGGGGTGACCCTGGGGTGGGTGGGGGAACCTGGCATGGGTCCAGGGGTAGGCGCTGAGGTGGGCCTGGGGGCCCTGTCATGACTGCCTCTTGGTGCTGGTGGGCGCACCAAGCCGGCCTCCTGCGCACGGGATCTGCCTTTCACCTGCCAAGGCTGCATGGTGCGTGTGAACTGGGGCAGAGCGTGGGAACGAGCGAGGCTCTGTCATCTGCACGTTCCCGAAGGTCGAGCAGGAGCCAGGCCCCTCCCAATCCCCGTCCACACCCCCGCAGGAGCCCCCTGGCCCACAGGTGCCGAGGGGGGGCGGGCTTGGTGGCTGCGATGCGGCCCTTTGCTCTCATCTAACAGCCACCAGGCTCTGCCTGTGTTTCCCAAGGCCCAGTCCTCGGGAGGGAACGGAAGGTTTCGAGAAGCGGCAGCGGCCGTCTCTGCAGCGCCAGGCTTCAGCTGTGGGCCTGGACGGCTGCCCACGGGCCAAGGCTCGGTCCTTGGAAAAGAGTGGCCTGGAACCAGCATCAGTGAACGTGGGTGCTCCCCAGAGGGAGGCCCTCGCCCATCCGCACACACCAGCCACCAGGGTGCTGGCTGCTCGGGCGGGGACTGGAGGGGCCGGGCCGGGCTGGGTAGGGGAGCTGTGGGCTGAGGCAGCCCAGCCCTGGGCGGAGGGAGCCGACCAGCCGCCCCCAGGCGTCTCCGCTGGCCGCGCACCTGCAGGCTGTAATTCGCCTTGCCGCTGATCAGCTGCGTGATGAGCTCCGCTGTGTGCTGGAAATGGATTTTCTCTGTTGGTAAAGAGAGGGGCGTGTTTGCCAAAGCCTGCAGTGCCGCGGCAGGGCCCCCCCCCCAGCCGGCCCCGGGCGCGCCCGGCCTCACCGTCGGCGGTGGCGTGGATGATCAGAAACTGCTGCTCTCCCAGCGCCGACACCCGGTGCGCCACCTTCGTCATCTGCACAGACACAGGGTCAGCGGCCACGGACAGCACGGGGGGTGCCGGCGCGGGCGTGCTGCTCACAGCACAGCCGGCGGCGCCCGTGTGCGGGGACCCGGGTTCTAGAACATGCGCCCGGATGAACCAGGCCGTGGTGGCCACCGTCACGCCCGCCAGGAGCACAGGCCGGAAGCTCCCTTGATGGTGGGGCGGGGGAGGCCCTCCCGGAGAGGTCGCCCGTCCCGTCCAGCTCGCGCCGCTCCCACACTCACCTCGTAGGCCCTGTTGTCCAGTCCATGCAGGCCAAGGTACCTCTCGGAAAACGCAGATGCTGGACAAAAGCAGAGGCGGCGGCTAGCCCCGGGGTGGCGGGCACCAGACTGGGGCCCTTGGGGTACGTGGGCATATGGGTGCACTCACTTCCACTCGCAGGGCAAAGGCTCGTCTCTGAACCCCCAGGCCCTGGGGTGTTTTTGGGGTGCTGGGCGTGCTGTGCTAACCCCGAGCCAGCTGCTGGCAGGGCTGAGCTGTGCTAACCCAGTGACCCTAAGGCAGCCGAACACACAGGAGCACCGGCCACCTTGGCGCAGGGGAGCGGGCCAGGACTCGGGCATGTCCCTCCAGGACGGACTGTTCAGCGCCTAGGGTGCCCGTCCACCCCGCCCTGGCTCCCGCCTGGCCCGGGGTTCTGACGGTCGGGTCTGCCAGTGCCCATCAGGGCCCATCAGGGAAGCAGGGGAGGGGGAGCCCCACAGCGGCTCCGCTCAGGGCGGGCGGCCTCAGGTGAGCAGAGCACGGGCCTGACGGGCGCCTGCCCGGCCCAGTGCCGGGGGCCTTCGTGGGCATCTGAATCAGGCACGTTTGAAATCGCCTGGCTGGAAAATGAAGCTGAGCCCCCTGAACTGGGAAAGCACCGAGACCGCTTCGTGTTTCCTGCGGGGAACTTAATCCCGAGGCGGGCGGCGTGCAGACAGCGGGACTCCCGTGGGAGCCATGGCGGGGCAGCCGCAGCGGGGGCGCGGGGTGCCCTCACCGTAGAGCTTGAAGTCGGTGATGGGAGACACAGCCGCGCCACAGGCGAACAGGGGGCCCTGGTCCTCGCCCTTGGCCGGGAGGATGTAGGTGCTCAGGTACCCGCCGTAGTCCTGCGGGAGGCGGGTGGACGCTGGGCCTCGAGGTCAGGCCCCCTGCCCTCTCCAGGGGGCGTTTTCTTTTTAAAATTTTAGCTTTAACAGGGGGTGAAAAGCTGAACAGCAAACACCCTCCCACTGGCAGTGCGGCCGTCCTCCCTGGGGCGCGCGCCCCCTGCCTCCCAGGAGGGGGCGCGGCGGGGACCGGCCGTGCAGGGCCCCTGCAGGGGCGGGTGGGTGGGTGTGAGTCTGTGTTAGTGTGAGCTGTGTGTGCACGCGTGAGTCTGAGCATGAGCCCATGTGGACTGCACATGGCACATGCATGAGCCTGCATGAGCACACACGAGCGTGTGAGCAGGTGAGGACGTGTATGTGAGCACACGTGTGGGCCTGTGTGCACGCGTGAGCATGTGGCGCATATGAGCGCATGAGCATGTGCATGCATGTGGGCATGTGGGCCTACGTGTGTGACCACGTGGGGGGCGAGCGCTGCGGGGTGCGGGCCGGCAGAGCCGGCGTGGTGTCCAGGGCGGGGGGCAGGACTCACCTTCCCAAACACGGCCACGCGCGTCTTGTCGATGTACTGCTCCCGCAGCATGGTCCTGCGGGTGGGAGGACAGCGGTCAGCACCCCCTGCCACCGGCGCCTTCCAGCACCAGCCCTCCCCTGGGTCCTGACGCAACCGCCCGAGGCTTTTCCTGCTCTAGAGCTGGGCGGGGACCCAGGTGAAGGAGCCGGTCGGCAAGCGCTTGCCCACACGCGCGCGTCTTCTCAGCCCCCTCACAGCCCTCCGGGCCCCGCAGGAGTGCTGCAGACGGGGCCCCTCGAGGGGCGACCGCAAGCCCCGAGTGTGAGGCGTGGCGGACACTGCAGCCCCTGGGCCCGTTGGGGTCTCCCCCTTTGCAGCTGCCCCTCTCTCGGATCCCCTGCTCCCCGCGCCCGGCTCCGGGCCTCTGGCCCAGCAGGAGAGCCGGCTCAGGCCGCAGCCGCAGCCGCTGGGCTCTACCTGCAGCCTGGGCGGGGTGGGGGTCGCTGCTCGAGCGCATCTGCTGGCAGCACAGCCTTCCCGGGCAGGCCCGCGACAGGCTCGACGCTGACTTTGCTCGCGGGCGCAGCGCACAGGAGAAGGAGAAAAAACTTCTCTAAACTTTCCCCTGGGAAGGGCTTTTGCAGAGACAACGGAGCTGGAGGCTGATCAGCCAACTCGAGCCCCGGCCGCCGGCCAGAGCCGGGAGACTGCGGGCGCAGGTGGGGCTGCCCCGGCGAGGGCCCGGCCGACACTCGGGCGCCGGCGAGCCGACGACCACCTCCTGCTTCGCCGCGACTGACCGCCGGGACGAGCGGACGTCAGCCGCCTCCGTGTTTCTCTGCCCTTGACCTGCTCTTCAGCCAATAAAATTGAGCTCCGTTGCTCAGACCCAGACCCCAAACCTCTGGCACTTCATTTCCCACCTGGGCGGCAGAGCTGCCAGCTGAGCTGCAGTAACACTTTTCCTTATTGCAAAGAGCTGGCGTTGGGGTATCAGCCTCTGGGGGCCGGACAGCCGCCTGGCTCAGCACGGGGGGACGCGGCGCGAGCAGAGACGGGGCTGTTAGGGTCGGGAACGCGGAAAACGGCTCCAAGAGAAACAACACAACACACTGGAGACAGACGCTGTGACCCCAGGGCCGCAGGGCCCTCAGCCGCGCTCCGGGTCACCTGCTCCCCACGCCCACAGCCCCCTACTGCCCATGACACGCCCCCCACGGCCCACGCTGGCCCCCAGGCCCATGCCACCCGCACCCCCCCACAGCCCACGCTGCCCCCTTGGCCCACTGCAGGCCCACTCTGCTCCCCAGGGCCCACGCCTCCCCCCGCCACCAGCCCCACACTGTCCCTGCCAGCCCAAGCCGCCCTCTAAGCCCATGCTGTCCCCCGGGCCCACGCCGACCACCCATGCCAACCCCCACCGCCGGCCCCACAGGCCCACACTGCCTGCCCCACACCGTCCCCCCAGCCCACGCAGCCCCCCAATCCGCACCGCCCTCTAAGCCCACTCTGCGCCCCTGCCCGCCCTCCAGGCCCCCCACAGCTCACGCCGCCCGCCACGCAGGCTGCCTGCTGCCGAGACTGTGCTCCTGATGGAGGACAAGAATAGGAAAAAATCTGAGAAGTAGGTGCGCCACGAGACCGGAAGCCTGGCCCACACTCGGCGGAGGGGCAGGAGAGATCAGCACGGCCCGTGACACAACTCCGGACACCGAGACCCGCAGGCGCAGAAACGCGAGTGTCCTGAGGCCGGACGCCTAGACACAAAGGGCACATGCCAGGGGCATCCGCCTGCGGTCCGGGGCACGGGCCCGAGGGACAGATATGGAGCTGGCGCCCGGAGCCCCAAAGGTGAAGACACGGAGACGGAGCCCATTGTGGAATCTCGGGTCCTTCCAGAAGCTGCAGTTTCCCACCGTCGGCACCGCCAAGCGCAGCCGCTCCCCGCCAACGATGGCCGATCGAGCCTGACGCGGCCGCCACGGGGGGCCGGTCTTCCCGCCTGCTGCGTCTGTGCAGGTGCACGTCCCTCTTCCGTCCCGTCCCCAGCGAACCCGCTGTCAGACACACCCTCCGGCTCTGCCTGGTGCGGAAACCCGCCGCGAGCCGCCGAAAGGGAAGCTCCGGGGCGACACCTTTCCCTGGTGACCCCCGGGACCCCGCTCTCCAGACCCACCGACTCCCCAAACCACCACACTCCCAGAGCGGGTGCCCGCCGGCGCCCAGCCCTCTGCTCCGCGCCCGCCTCTCCCTTACCCGGGCTGGGCAGCCGCGTGGGCTCCCGGACGGAGCGTGAGGCCGAGGGACGGGGGTGATTCCAGAGGGCGGGGGCGCCCCCCGCTCCTCAGCTCCTGCGAACGCAGCGATGCTGTCGGGCTGACAGCAGCGGACCCGCGGGCCCCGGGACGCCGGGCCTTGGGTGCCGAGGCCTCCACAGCCCGGGAGCGCGAGGGTCTCGCGAGGGTTGCGCTCAGGGCGCGTGGGCTGAGCAGGTGACGCCACTTACTGAGCAGGTGACGCCACTTACTGCGCTTCCCGAACAGGCTCTGCCTCTTTGCTAACAGATGGTCAGAGCAGCAACTTATTTTTAGACAGCACTGGGGGTCTGAGGCTTCCGTGACCCTCCGGCCCTTGCTGGGAGGGGCGGCTGCCATGGCCAGGAGCCTGCGGGGAGCGGCCTGCAGGGGCGTGAAGGACAGCTCGCCCCTCAGCTGCGTCCTCAGGCCATCCCGGCCTTGCACTTCCCTGGGCGGAGGGGGCGCGGGGGAGGGTGAGGGAGAAAGCACAGGCGGAGGAGGCTCCAGGGAGCGGCCCAGGGCCGGCCTCAGCATCGCGGCCAGAGTGCTGGTGCTGGGGAGGCAGGGAGAGGTATCGACTGGCTCGCTGGGTGCTCCTGGGGGGCTCCTCTCTGCCTTTCTGTAAGTTTCTAGAAGCTTCTGGAAGTGGCTCCCCCATCTGCTGGAGGTGAATGAGGGTGCCAGGGGCTACGGGTCAGCATGAGGGTCAGCTCTGGGTGGGGCAGGGAGGCAGCCTGAGAGGGAGCCGAGGCAGGAGGCAGCGGGGTGTGGGCTGCTCTGTTGGACCAACGCCCTGGCCACAGCCTCTCTCGGCCTTCCAGGCACCAGCCCCTTCCCTGAGCCGCCCCTCCCCGCCCTCCGGCTCTGACCACGCACCTCAGGCACCGGCTTCTCAAAAACAAGATGGTTTGAAAGTTCGCTAAGGGAGCACCTTCAGGCACAGCCATGGCTGTTCTGCCACCCCCCACACCTGGCCCCAGGGGCCGCACCCCTCTTCACCCTGAGGGTGGCCTCCTGCAGGCAAGGGCTGCCAGGCCGAGTGTGAGTGTCCTGGGCTGGGAGCACGCTCTGGGCTTCCCCCAAAGCAGCACAGCCCAGCCCTGGCCTGAGCCTCGCCCTGGGTTGAGCCTGCTCTGGGCACCCTCGAGGCCTGGCCAGGCCCTGCGGCCACCTGGGGTGCTCAGAGCTCCCTCCTCCATATGATGCAGGCACCGGGGTGGACGCTGCTCACAGGCAGGACTCATGGGCAGCCAAGCACAGGGAGGCCAAAAAGGCCCTCACGGCCGGTGCTGGTTCTGCCGACCAAGCCCACAGGCTGTGCCACCAGCGTGGGACCCTGAGGAGGACAAACAGGGTGTCCCTTTGCCCCAGAACTGCCTACTCTATGGCACACCTGGCCCTGGGGGACCACGCGGGCAGGCTCCAGGCCCCCGAGACCCTGTGGCAATGGCTGGGCCCGTGGGAACGTGGTGGCACCTGCGCCTGGCCGCCCGAGCAGCTGCCTGCCGTCCTGTCCAGGGAGTCGCTGCTGCCGAGTTCAGCCTGGAGCACCCAGGGGCCTTACGTGCCTGCCCCGCGGGCTGTGTGTGCATGCAGGGGGGCCGAGCGGGTCTGGCAGAGCCGCCTCCAACATGGCGCCCGCCCAGGCCTCACCTCACGGCCTCCACTGCCCGCCCAGGCCTCACCTCACGGCCTCCACTGCCCACCCAGGCCTCACCTCACGGCCTCCACTGCCTGCCCGGGCCTCACCTCACGGCCTCCACCTGGTCCTTCTCCTCCAGGGTGCCCAGGCGCCGCCTCACTTCATGCAGGAGTTTGGTCCCCTGGAAGCCGCTGCCCCGGCCGTCGCACTTCACCACCACGGCGCCGTGGCTGCTCACCATGGCCGTCTCCCAGGTCACCTCGAACTTCTCGGCCACGCTCTGGCTCCCGGGGGTGCCGTCCCTGCCAGACGGGACAAGCTGTCCTTAGTGTCTCGAGAGTGGGGGCGTCTGGTCTAATGGGGGTGGGGGTGGGCAGGCGCCCGTCCTGCCAGGCGGTGAGGACACAGGACCTGAGCTGGCCAGAGGCCCCTGGCTGGGCGGAGCGCTCCGGGGCGGGGCACGCAGCCAGGCGGCAGGGGAGGGGCGGCCGCAGTTCACCCGGCGTTCACCCTGCACGGGCGGGCGCCGGCCTGCTTGGCCGGAAACACCCACAGCAGCCTCTGCTCTGTCCTGGCCCCTTTTGAGTACGGTGGGGGCGGGCCCTGAGCAGCAAGGAGGGCGCCCCAGAGCAGAGCACATGCTTGGGGGAACCCCCACCAGGACCCGAGAGGTTCTGGGAGCCGGAGCCCGAGGCTGGGCTAATACTGCGGTGACTTGCTGGCCAATGAGCAGTGCTCAGCGACGTGCAGCTGGCCCAGAGAGAGCCGGGGAGTGGGGAATGGGCCGGCCAGGGGCGACTCCCTCCCCAGCTGTCCCGACTGCTTCTGAGCGGTGACCCACATTCTGACCTAAGTCCTGGTTTTACTCCAACAAATCACCCCCGTGGGGGGGGAGGCCCCGTCAGCCTCTGCCCCACTCCTGGTCACCGGCCGCGAGCGCCCCGGCCAGACTGAGGCCCAGCAGCTCCCCCACTTCCCACAGCTTCGGGGACAGACTTTCCCCGGGGTCGCGAGCCGCCAGGCCCAGAAGGCGGCGGGCGGGTACTCACACCACGAGGAGCAGCGGGTAGTGCGCGGTGTCGGAGAAGGTGGCGGGCTTGAGGATCTGCAGGGGCAGACCTGTGGGCACAGCACAGAGCTCCGTGGGCCGGCAGCGGCCACAGGGCCAGGGCCGGACCCTGGGGCTGACCCGCTAGAAGTGCCTGGGGCTGGGGGGGCGTGAGGGCTGGGAGCTGGGGAGTCCTGGGCACCCAAGAAGAGACCGAGGGTGGGCGCTGCGGCAGGGGCTCTTGGCTGATGGTTCCTGGGTTGGCAGAGCGCAGGTCTGAGTTTGGGCCCCCAGAAGAGCAGGAGAGGCTGGGCGCCCCTAGTTTCTGCAGCAGACACCCCTCTGGACCTGCCCTTGCAGCCTGGAGCCCGGGGGAGGCAGAAAGGGGGGATTTCCTCACCAGTGCATTGTCTCCTCAAAAACAAGCCTCCCTGCTCCAGCCAGAATTGTTTATTGAGTTAACCACCACCCGATTAGCAATTAAATTGGAATTAGTGGCTTTTCCCCACAATCGCTCTGGACACCCCCGGGGCGGGGCTGGGGCGGGGCTGCGGGCTGGCGGCTGCCCTGGCTCCCCCGGCTGACTCAGGCGAATGTTAATGGCTTGCAAATTGGATCCGTGGCCCAGGGGCCTGGGAGAGCCCAAGACGGTCTGGGCGCGGGGCCTGGGCTGCTCTCGGCACGATAAGCCCATGGCAGACCAGGCCGCCAGGCAGGACACATTTCCAAAGCCCTTCCCCTGTTTCTTCTCCAAGGAGAGGCCTTGCCGGCCTCTGGTAGCATGAAATGGAAAAACAACACCACTGGAAAACAGCCTGGGGGGGACACCCGGCTCCCTCTCGCCTCCAGCGCCTCTCGGTCAAGCCACCTTCAGCAGACCAGAACCCTCGGTGGGGCGGCCCGGAGGCCCTTTCCTGCGTGTCTGGGGAGGTGCCGTGGGCCCGGGAAGCTGCTGGAGGGCCGAGTGGGGGTGCATGGGGAGGCAGGACTGGGGCCCCCGGGGCGGGAAGGCATCCTGTGAAGAAGACCATCTGGCCTCTAGCTCTAAGAAAACTGGGGAAGGGTCCAGAAAGCTTGTCCACCAGGGGCTGGGGTGGGCCCTGGGTGGGTGCGCAGGGCTGGGGCAGGAGCCTGCAGTCCGGCTGTGGGTACAGCCCGTGCCAGGCCCCGAGCTTGGCTTCAGACTCTGCTAATAAAGGGTGAACGACACTCCCGTGTTTCCATTCTGCTCTGGGCTCTCAAGTGACGCAGCCTGTTCTGAGGTTTGGAGGTTGATCCTGCAGGTACAGGGCACTGGACCAAATGTGCAAGCTGCTCATCCCTCCGGCCTCTCCTTCCTGCCACCCACCCACCATCCATCCGCCACCCACCCATCCACCACGCATCTCAAATCATCGTGTTTTCTTTCCTCAAAGAGGACAGCACAAAACAAACATCTGGTTAGTGTGAGGATCCGGTGAGGTGGGCGCAGTCTGGGTGCCTGGAGCGCGGGCTCCGAGGGGGGCCGGGGCAGCAAGGATGCCGTGGGGCTAGCCGGCCTCCCCGGGCTGGAACACCGAGTCGCGCTGACTCTTCTCCAGCCTGACCTGCCCAGAGCAGGTCTGCAGAGACGCCGCCAGCACAGGGAGGGCCGCCGCCGAGCACAGGCACACGGACGGGCCTCTTCCGGCTTACGCCCGGCGCAGGCCGAGGGTCGCGGCCCCTACCAGCTGGCTTCTGTCCTCACGGAGACCCAAGCGCTCCCCTGCTCCAGTCCAGCAGACCTTCCGCTGGGCCTCACGCCGTCTCCCCATCAGCGTCGGGGCCCGAGGTCCTCCTGCGTCCTCACGTCCTGCCTGGCCTTTCTGCTCCCGCCTCCCGAGGGCTGGCTGTGGGTGTCCCTGTTCCTCAGTCTCCCCTTCTTCAATCCCACTCATGGAGGGGCAGCCTTGAGGCCCCTGGGTCCAGTGCCACCACAGCTGAGTCTGGGGATGGAGGGACCCCCCCCCCCCCGCCTGAGGCTATGGCTTTCCCGTACCCACGGTTTTAGTGGAGCTGACCTTGCTCCCTGGGGTGAGTGCAATGTGGACCCCGCGTCCCCTCTAACACGTGCTAACGGGCGCCAGGGCTCTCCCGCCAGGTGATGAGGTGCTGCCTGCTGGGAGTGGCCTGGGGAGCGGGCCCAGGGGCCCAAGACACCCATCCTCCGCTCAGGCATCACTGGTCAGTCCTCCCGCTCCTGCCCATGGACCCTCTTCCGTGAACGGTCTGGTGCTGCTGCCCAGCAGCTGAGTGAGCCAGGATAGAGCCCACCCCACCGCTGAGATGGCGGGGGGAGGGCATCTTGGCGCTTAGAACCCTAAGGCATCTGAAGCCCGGAGCGAGAGGGCTCTCAGAAGCCCGACGGTCTGGAGGGGGCAGGCTGCTGGGCAATGGAGAGATTTGTCCCGGGCCTTTGCATTTGAGGTGCCCAAGGGTCAGTGGCTGGTGGCAGCGAGGACCGGGGGGCAGCCAGGCGGGCCGGGCGCGTGCAGGGAGCGCTGGGGCCAGGAGAACCGCGCCTCCCTCCCCCGCGGGGTCTGGGCTTCCCGCCCCGGGCTGGGCGCCCGCAGGCCGCGGAGCAGCTGGGCAGCGGTGCAGGAGGGCGGGTGGACAGGGCCGCGGAGGGCTGGGTGCTCCGGAGGGAGCCAGGCCGCAGAGCCCTCCCTCCGCCCCGTGTAGGGCGCCCCCCAGCCCGCCGTCGGGGGCCCGGCCCGCGGGGCGCAGGCGCTCACTGTAGTCGTCCACCTCGATCCTGCGGTACTCCACCCGGGGCATCTGCCGGTCGCTGACCGCCCGCAGCACGTGCGCGTTCGTCTCCAGGTCGAAGAGCTCTGAAGGAGAGAGAGGCGGGCGCCTCAGGCCGGGCTTCCGGGGCGCCGTCGGGGCGCCGTCTCTGCCCGCGGGCAAGCCCCGGCCAGCGGTGGGCGGGCAGCGGCGGGCGGGCCAAGCCCGGTGGGCGTGGCCGAGCTGAGTGGGCGGGGCTGAGACAGGCAGGCGGGGCTGCGGTGGGTGGGCGGGGCCTGCCGAGTGGGCGGGCCGAGCTGAGTGGGCGGGGCCGAGACAGGCAGATGGGGCCGTGCTGGGTGGGCGAGCCAAGACCGGTGGGCGTGGCCGAGCGGAATGGGCGGGGCTGAGAAGGCAGGCTGGGCGGTGCTGGGCGGGCGGGGCCTGCCGAGTGGGCGGGGCCGAGACTGGCAGGCGGGCCTGTTGGGTGGGCGGGGCTCATGGCCACGCCCCCGCCTCTTGGGGGCGGTGCTCTGCCCGCCCTGGCCGTGGTGGACACGTGGTTTTGCGGACCCCGTGGCCACCACGGCGGGGTCCGGCGCGAGGCCGGGCGCGCTCTCCCAGCTGCTCCCGGCGGCCAGCCCGGCCCCAGCGGCCCGCAGGCCCTGCCCGCGCCGCTGCTCTGCTGCCCGGCCCGCGCCCCGAGCTCCCGCGCCGGCCCCTCCCCGCCTTCTGCGGCCCCGCAAGGGCTCGGCGGCTCGGGCGGATGCTTTCCGGCCAGCTCCGGAGCCGCGGATTCCTCCACGCGGCCCGGCCCCACTGCGGGTCCTGCGGGCGCCCGGAAGCCTGACCCCGGAGGCCTGGCGGGCGAGAGCCCAGGGGCGCAGGTGCGGGCGGACGCGCGGGAGGCCGGGCTGGGGCGCCGGCGGGGACCTCGCCGGCAGGAGGAAGGCTGTGGCGCGCGGCCAGCGTGGTCCACTGGAGGCCAGGCCCACGCGGCCCGGTTTCAAACTGCGAGGGCGCTGGACACAGCTGCCCGGCCCGCAGCGGCGCGCGCCCCTCTGGCTCCCGCAGCCCCAGCGCTGACCCGAAGGACACACTCCATGCGCAGGACCCACGCTGGGCGGCCCCTCTGGCCGGTCCTGCCAGAGCTGGGGGACACGGACGTGCCCCCGGGACGTCGCCACTGCCTCTGCCTGCAGGGCGCCCGGCTCCCCCTCTCACTGCGGCACCCCACAGAGGCAGGGCGCCCGGCTCCCCCTCTCACTGCGGCACCCCAGCCTCGGAGAATCTCGCCCCCCTTATTGAAATCCCGCCCTTCACAGAAAGGCACCCAAGCCACAGACGATTACATTTAGTTAAATATTAGATTCCTCATTTAATGATTGCCCACACAACTGGCCTTATCAGCAGAGAGCTGGCTGACACCCGGGGGAGTTGACTTAAGCCATTTTATTTGTTCCCATAATTGCATTCAAAGAGGGCAGAAGCTCCGCGGAGGAAATAAGAGCAGATTAGCATGTCCCCCCAGGACCCTTCTTTTGACTCCAGGGCCTCGGGGACCTCCAGTCTGGAGCATACAAACGGCCACTCCTTAATTAAATGGGGGCCCCTCTAATATCTGGCGGAATTAGCTATTATCAGATGGGGACAGTGAGATCGCAGAGCAGACGCCTGCCAGGCGGCCGCTCCCCAGGCCCGTGCAGGTGTGGCCACTGCTCCAGACGCACGTCCCCAGGGCCCAGGGGCTCCGGGGCTGGTGCACTCGGGCTCGGCTGAATTTCGGGACACGACTGACCAGATCCCAACGGAGGCCGACAGGCAACTGACCCGGAGACAAGCGCGGCCGGCTCCCTTGGCCCGATTCCGCGAGCGAGGGGCGGGCCTCGGGCAAGGTCCGGGCTGCCGGCCCTGTGCTCCCCGGGGACCCGCACCTGGCGTGTCAGGAGCTCCAGCTCCAGACTTCGGCCAGGTCCCGGCCGTGGGGCCACCAGGCTGCTGCTTTTCTCTGAGCATCTCCTGTCCCACCGTTTGGGTGATAATTCTTCCCTTTGCTATTTTTTTGCTTTTTGTCTGTTTCTCCCCAGCCAGAGTCTAAGCAACGTGGAGTCAGGCCACTCAGGAGGCTCGCCGTGGGCCCTTGGCCCTGGCACCACCGGGCAGCTGCTGGGCCAGGCAGGGGTTGCTGTCCTCGTGTGGGCCGGGAGGGGGCATCGCAGGCACAGCCCCCGGGGCTGCCCTGCGCCCTCTGGCCTCTGCCCCCCTCCCTGGAACGTGTGGCACCTGCTCTTGGCATGTGCCCCCGCTTGTGTCAGTCACACGCCAGCTCACCTGCCAAGCGTGCCGGGCCTGGGCATGGCGGGAGCGGGCTGCCAGCCTGGCCACACTGCCTCCCTCAGGGGCGGCCCGTGCGGGAAGCCTTGGTCTAGAAGACTCTCCAGATGCATGCTCAGCTGAGGAGGCTGCAGCCACCTGCCTCCGCCCCAACCCTCTCCCCTCCTCCACGCAGGCAGGTGCTGGACAGAAGCGTGGGTGGGCCGGGCAGGCGGGCCGGGGCCCAGGCAGGGCCTCCCAGCAGCCTCAGGTAGACTCTCAAGGCAGAGTTGCCCTGAGCCAAGAGCCAGGAGGTGGTTTGGTTCTTTCTAGAACTCGGCTGGAGGAAGTGGGAGAGTGGCCTGTGGGTGTCACAGAAGCAGCCCTGCAGCTGGTGACTCAGGGGTCCTGGGGACGGGTCCTGGGCGGCGCTAGGCACCAGCTGGCCACACAACCCTGGAACCCGCCCCCATGGCCTCTCCCGGGCCCGGCTGCCCGCCAGGCCGGCGGCTCTTCCCTTATTTACACCCGAGCAGAGCGTTACCTGCGGCGCTGTTGGTGTTTCTGTCCCAGGCGCTTGAATGCCCAGGCACCAAATGAGGGTCTTTTGGTCCCAACCATAATTACGGTCTTAGGGAAACGGCTTTTAAATAATTCAGAGTCACATCTGGAACCCCCGCAGGCCGTGTGCGGATAAGATTTTCTACGGGCGCGCGAGGGCGGGGGAGGGGCAAGGCAGGACAAAGAACCCTGAAGCCGCAGCCTCACCTTTCAGGGCAGGAGGAGCAGACGGAAAGGCCTCGCTGGCCCTCCCGGCTCTGCCCCCCCCTCCCCCGCCCAGACGCGGGCCTCCCGAGCTCCTTCCCCCAGACGGCCCTGCCGCCACCGCTCCTGCTGACCCAGCCCAAGCTCAGCGGATGGCCCCGCTGGGGCCTGGCACCGAGTCAGGTCAGCTGGGCGGGTGACCACAGCTTCCAGGCCAGGAGCCCTGGCCCCCGGGGTCTGCACGGTGGGCACCCACTCTCTCTTCCTGGACGATCTGGGGGGTGCCCCGACAGGCTGTGTGCAAAGCCCTCAAGAGGGCTGGGCCTGGCTTCGTCTGGCTGGGAGTGAGGCCTCAGAGCCGCAGCACGAGCTGGCGAGCTGGGGCAGCCACCCCACCCAGGGTGGCAAGGCTGGGCGGGTGAGGGGGGACAGTGTGGAGGCAGACGGGGCACAGCCAGGTCCGTAAACCCTCCCTTCTTGTGAGGCCCTCTTGGGTCACCTGACGGCCAGGATGGGCCTAGGCCAGAGCAGGCCCCCCGCGGGGCCACTCCCCAGGGCTGGAGAGACCACAGTGCCCCCGCACATCGGGTTCACCAGCTCGTGTTGGAGTCCGAGTGGGAGTCTGCACTGAGAGGCGGGGCCCGGGGAGGGGGAGGCGCGGTCAGTGTGGAGAGAAGCTGCAGCAGCCCCCTCCCCAGCACCTGCTCCCCAGAAGGCAGTGGCCCTACCCGGCCCCCGAGGCCTCATCCTCTGTCCTGCACCCTGAACTGCATCCTTTTCTGGGCTGGGGCCTGTGACCTACAATGCTCACAGTAGGACAAGCGCAGAGGAGGCAGGGCCACCCTGGGGTGGCCTGTCCCCTGCCTAGGTGCTGCTCTGACGGCTTCCTGTGGCAGAGCGTGGAGCTCTGAGCCCTCCCCCAGCGACAGCAGCACCTGCAGAGTCTGCACCTCAGACGCTCCCTGTGCTCAGGGCGTGGGGGTTCACCCTGTCTGCCGGTGGCCGAGGGGGCACTGGGCTGCTCCATAGGCAGGGTGGGCTGGATGGAGAGGCTGCAGGGTGGACCCCGGGCAGCCTGGGGGTCCTGCTCGACAGCGACTGGCCAGTCACACTATCTCCTTGGGCCGCCCCCGTGCCTGGCACCTACGGCTGCAGTGGTGTTCACGGGCAGGTGGGGGTCGAGGACACCCAAGGGGACAGGTAGGGGTCGAAGATGCCCAACGGGACAGGTAGGGGTCGAGGACGCCCAACGGGCCACTGATCATTGGAGAAACCTGAGGTCGCAGAAGATTCACTGTTTTTTCTTGCCATTTTTCCCTCCCTCTTGCCCTTGTAGAAACCACTTCCGGTGGCGCAGCGGGTTGAGCACCGCGCTGTGAAGCTGTCCGCAGCCTCTGCAGCTCAGGTTTGATTCCCGGCCGGCCAGGGAGCTACCCACATGGTGCAGCAGACCTCTCCTGTCTCCCCGCTGCGCTCCTCAGCAGTGGAATTCAGTGGATCCACCTGTTCTGCTCGCGGCTCTGTCTCTGGTGAGGTTTCTTACCCTCCCGCGCCTCTGACCTGCACCCTAGTGCTTGTATAAATAAAAAAATCTTAAAAAAAAAAGAAACCACTTCCCACTTTCTCTTCCCATAGGGATTATTTGCTCCTGAGCAGTCAGAACTGGGGAGCAGGGTCCGGGCTGTCGGGTGTGGGGGCCAGCAGGCGCTGCCCTCCGCGAGCAGGAAGAGCCATGGGGGGCTGTTTGGTCCCGTTTCCAAGACGCCGGGAGCAGAAGGGGGTGTTATGTTTGTCACCAGGCCCAGGGTCTGGCACCCACTAAAGACTCAGGGACGGTGGCTTCATGTCTCGGGAGGGGGGTGCGGGTGGCCTGGCACCCAGGCGGGAGCAGGGAGGGTGGTGGGGCTGTGCCCTGGGAAGCCCTGTCCTCCGGGTGCCCCCGGGCGTCGCGGAGCCCCTGGCCAGGGGACGCCGAGAAGCAGCTCTGGCAGCCCACGCAAGAGAAGAGCCCGGTCTCTGCCGGAGCTGGCTCCCTGCAGGCGCGGCCGAGGCAGCCAGGGCCTGCGGGCCCCTCGGGAGACCTCTGCCCCATCGGCCCTCCTTCGGGGTCGCCCCCCTCATCCAGCTGGGCCCCCAGGGCGTCTGGCCTGTGGAGGTGATAGAGCCACTTCTGGGCCTCAGAGCACCCCAACTTCCTCTCTTCAGCGGGCATGGGTCACCCCCGAGGAGCCCAGCACCCCCAGGGGAGCAGCAGGAGCAGGACCGGGACTTCCCGAGGCGCCCTGTCCCTCCCTTCCCGGCGCATGTTTGGGTGGGTTTGTGTGTTTCCATTCGGGCACATATTTTTGGGCTTTTTAACCTTCATTTGATGACCTAGAAAAGCTACTTATTTCAGATTTTATCATGACTTACCTTTTCATTTTGAATTTTGAATAATTAGTTGTTATATATCAACGTAATACATGTATTCCTTCTGCAAAACATTAACATCATTTGGGCTGCTGTTCCGAAAGATACTGTCCTTCAAATAAATCTATTTCATCTACTCTTGAGCACTTCATCCACTTTCCAACCAGTGTGTAAGCAGCGGGCCGGCCTCCTCAGCCCACCGCCCCTCGCCAGCGCTCCAGGCTCCGGGGTACCCTCTCGCAGGGGTCGAGCAGGGGGCTGGGGGAGGGAAGGGCATGGATTCCTGGGGCCAGGGTGGGGCAGGGAGCCCGGCGGCAGCTCTCTGCCTCCTACTTCTCCTTTGACAAATACGTGTCAGCTGCGCGGGGTCCCTTCAACACAACAGGGCTGCACCCCCCATGGCTGAGAAGCTTCAGCACTGCAGGGACTGGGCATGAAGTCCTTGCGCCGGGCCCACAAGCCGCAAGTCCTGGGTGCCCCGGGGGCCCAGGTGCCGGCGAGCGGCCAGGAGGATTCTGCAGACCTGGCGGGAGCCTCAGCCTGCACTGCCCGCTCCGCCCCAGGCTGCTGACGAGGCCCCAGCCAGGGCCGCCGGGGGACCCTCAGCTCCTGGCGGCCCGCGGGCTCTTCCTGGCTGCTGGAAGGGCCGCTCCGGCTCCAGCAGAGAGCACAGACCGGGCTATTCCAAAGAGCTCCCCAAGCCCTTGCTCCCGAGTTGCAGGAAGATTTAAGAAAAGAGCAAACGGCACTTACTTCTCTTGTCCGTGGTGTTGTGCACGGTCACCGTGGGGACGCCCGGGCCTGCGTCGGGGAGGGGAGAGGCCAGGAGAGAAGGAAGAGAGGGCGTTAGTTCAGCGGGGAGAGCCCAGCCTGCAGCCCGGCAGAGGGGCCGGTGCTGGGGCTCGGACCCAGGTCACCGAGACAGAAAGCGCCGCTGACCGAGGTGGCTCGGCTCGCGTCCACACAACCTCACGCTACAACCAACACAAACCCACGCTGTCTCTGCCGGGTTCTGGAAAACCCCGCCAGCCCGCGTCCTTGGTGACTTTTCCAGACCCGGCTCCTGTGGGGGCGACTCCTCCAGAGAAGCGCCTGGTCCCCGCCTCTGCCCCAGCCCTCCCCGCCATGGGCACCGCCGCCTGCAGGCCTGAGTCTCCGTGGCACTGCTCCCTGCCGCTCTCTCTGGCCCTGGAGCGTACACTCTGGGCTTAGGTGGGCAACCCTGGGACTGTCTGCTCACTGCCGCCTCCTGCAGCGGCCAGGACAGCGCTGGCTCTGTGCTCCTGGGGGCGGGGGTGCTGAGTGTGCGGCCACAAGCACACAGCAAGGGCAGAGGGGACGCGCCTTCCATCCTGGGGGGTCATGGAGAAGAAACGGGGGCAGGGTGTGGGAGTCAGGGAGATGCAGGGGAGGCAGCTGAGCGATAGAGCTATTGTGGGGCTCCTGAGGCCAGGGGTCCTGTCTGTTCCTGGCTCCTGTTGGGGTCTTGGGGGCTCTGATGCAAGATTGTGCGCACACCATTTGGGCAGGGAGATGCCTGGATTCCTGGGGGTCACTCAGAACTTCCCGTACCCTTCTGAGGGGCCGTAAGGCGAGTGGCTGAGTCGCCAGCCAGAGAGCTATGCGGACCCCGCCAGGGGCCGGCTTAAAGGCCCCTCTGCAGAGGATGCGGACTGCACGTCCTGGTCAACACCCGGAGAGGGCGTGGCCGAACAGCAGAGGCGCCTGGTACCACCGAGAGGCCGACGAGAGCACCCCACACCCCAAGCGAGCTGAGACTGACTCTGGGCTCCGCCAGCCGAGGCCCTGGGGCAGATGCCTGTTCCTCACCCAGGGCCTGGAACAGACAGCACCCAGCGTGGGGGGGCTTCCCATGCGCCCCTCCCATTTACCCAGCCGCGGGCTCGCCCCAGCACGCGGCCCTCGCACTTGCACTTCAGACGGGCTGTGCTTCCTAATGCAGACGCCCGCGCAGGCCACGGCGCATCCTGCTAGCAGGTCCCTGTTGGCCCCTGAAACTCAAGTGCGGGCGTCCCTCGCGGCTCTGCCTGGCGGCCTCCCAGGAACCGGCGGGCCATCTGGGCGTCTACACCTCTCCACCCGGAGGCACGGCACTTGCCTTGGCTGTGGGGTGAGTTATCAAACGCTTGACGATCCACTTTCCCCCGAGGGGGCTCACGTAGAAGAGCAGACCAGTTCCTGAGAAACGAAGACCGCACACCGACTTCCCCTGCTCCTTTCAGGGTGAGTGAATTTGCCGACAGGGCCTGCCCCACATTCTTACTTACAAGGTCCACAACGACGATCCAGGGCCTCCTGTGCAGACGGCACCCGCTGGAGGCTGACCCCGAGTGATCCCTGACCCTCGCAGACGCACCGAGGCCCGTGCTACCTGCCACATCTTATGGACGCGAGAACACAGGTTGGAGGGTGGGCCCCGCCACAGGGCGAGGGAGCCGCTGACCCGCTTCTCTCGTTCTGATACGTGTTTGTGAAAAAACCCGAACACTTGAGGGAGGGGCAGGTTGGCAAGCAGTAGACCGTTCCCCCCTCTTCCTAGAAGGAACCACAATTTTTTAAAAAATAGCCTACAGTACATTTATGTGGTGATATTTACACGTAAGCAAATATTTAAACATAGAAATGAAAAACCGTAGCAGACACAATTTCAACCTGCAGCTTTGTCGAATCTTGACGTAGGATCACGTTGCTTTAGTTATTTCAAAAATAAAACCTAATACAGTTTTGAGCCTGCTCCTATACCAGAGGTAATAATCATCTTCAAGGCAGTATTTATTTCCGCTACATTTGCAGAGTGTGTTTCTGCGTCCCGGTGTGCACTCACAGCTCCCTGTGTGGTGGCGTGCCCGCGATGCAATGCAGCCTGTCACCCCGCTGGTCTAGTTTCATTATTTTGCATGTGGCTGACCAGTTTTCCCATCACCATTTATTGTAGAGGATTTCCTTGCTTCAGCGTATACTCTTGGCTCCTTTGTTGAAGAGGAATTGTCTATACAGATTTGTGTTTATTTCTGGGGTCTCTCATTGTTCTGTGTGTTTTCGTTCCAGTACATGCTGTTTTAATTATTATAGCTTTACAGTACAGTTTGAAGCCTGGCAGTGTGATGCTGACATTCTTTGTCTTTTCCTTTTTTGTCAGGATCGCTGAGACTATTTGTTCCCTTTCTTTGAAGAATGCCATAGAACTTTTCATTGGATTGAATTGAACCTGTACACTGTTTTGGATAAGATGGACATTTTGCAAAGTTGTTTCTTCCAATCCATGATCAGGGAATGAGTGTCTTTCCACGTCTTTGTGTCTTCGTCCACTTCTTTTACCAATGTTCCCTTCATATAGGTCCTTCGCCTCCTTTGCTAGGTTTATCCCTCGTATTTAACTGTTTTGGTGTCATCATAAATGGGGTTACTTTCTTAACCCCCCTCTCTCCTATCTCATTGTTTACATATTGGTTTTATAACCTGCCACATTGTCGAACCGATACTTTTTTTGACTAGTTTTTCAGTGGAGTCCTTAGTGGCTCTATGTGTATTTTCACGTCTTCTGCAAATAACGATGGTCTTCTTTTTCTTTTTAATTACAACTTTTTAAAGGTATAATGGCTCCTGCCTAGCTTCGCCGCACCTCAGACAGAATACACACACGCTCACACTCACCCCAACATCCTTGGGCCAGGAGTCTGTGTGTCACCCCAGGCCGGTGCCACCTCTGGGCACAGTGCTGTGTCCAAAGTGCCGAAGAGGTTGACGGAGGGAGACGGACCCCTCCCGAGGTGCACCTGCCCCGCCACGCGAGGCGGCACACTGAAACTAAGCCACGGAAACCCCTCACGACCATCTCCCGGGGCCCCGTTGAGGAGAGTGCAGGGCCACCGGCTGTTGGCGCTGAGTCGCCCTTTCTCTCAGTGTCTGCTCAGTGGCTGTTTGCAGTTCCAGGAGCTGAACCGAGTTTTTTTTATGAGACACATAGGACAGCTGTGCCACCTGCACCTCTATCTTAATATATAGAACAGCCAGAGAGAAAATAATAAATACAAAAATGATATAAAACAAGGGTTAGAAAGGAGCGTCTATGCATAGTTTTAAATCTCTTAATTATGGCCAAACCCTTCCAACCACGCGGATCTGGCCACAGGTCAGCCTGTCCCGGGGAAGTGGGCTCCCGAGTCTCGGCCACCTGGCGCGGGAGCTGGGCTCTGCCTGGGCCCTGGCGCCTCTGCCCACAGGGTCCACCAACCATGCAGATTTTGAGGTCACCACGCTGATTAACTGCTGTTCTTCCTCCCAAACTGACAGATAATTTAGGAAAACACCTAAGTCAGAATGAACTTCTGCCTAAGATAAAAAAGGCAGGAGACCCCCGGTGCACAGTGAGCCTGGGGCTTCCTGGCGCCTTGGCTGGGTAGTTTATCTGGGGTTCCTCAAGGACGCTCGGGGCGCACTGACATGTCTTCAGCACACAGAGACTTTTGGGGGGATCTTGTAACATTTAAAAGGGGACTCTAAACTCATTCTAAACAAGTAGGAGTCCTTCTACTCATGAATCTTTTTTTTTTTTTAAGATTTATTTACTTATGCATGCAAGAACTGGGGTACAGGCCAGAGGTGCGGGGTGGGTGGGTGAGATGATTCCCCAGAGACAGAGCGGGGAACAGAACAGGCAGACTGACCTAAGTACACTGCTGAGGGGAGCAGCGGGGAGACAGGAGAGGTCTGCCGCGCCATGTGGGTTGCTCCCTGGCCGGGGATGGAACTCGTGCTGCAGAGGCTGTGGACAGCTTCATAGGTTGCATCTTAACCCCTGCATCACCAGGGAGGCCCCCTTATTCATGAATTTTTTTTTAAAGATTTATTTATTTATTTGTACAAGCACTGGGTACAGTCAGAAGCGCGGGAGGGTGAGAGAATTCACCAGAGCCAGAGCGGGGAGCAGAGCAGGCAGAAGGACGGAAGTACACTGCTGAGGGGAGCAGCGGGCGGCAGGAGGGGTCTGCGTGCCATGTGGGACCCTTACCCGGTGGCCAGGGATCAAACCGGCGCTGTAGAGGCTGCGGGCAGCTTCGCAGCCCAGTGCTCAACCGCTGCGCCACCGGGGAGGCCCATTACTCATGAATCTTATAAGAGGCATCATCATCAAAGCTTTAGACTGGCTTTCTCTGCTTTCCTGCCTGGTCATTCAAATGACCCATGCACCCCAGCCAGGAGCGGGACAGTGGTGGGGGGGGCGCTCTGCAGCTGTTTCCTGGGCGCTGGGGGGTTGCGGCACATTCACAGCTGTGCCGGGGCCTGGACAGCCTTGCCTTCGGCTAATAGGTGGACAGGCCTGAGAGGACGCTGATTAGCTGCTGTCCTCCCAACACCCCCCGTTCCCCTGAGGCGCTGCGATCCAGTGAGCACGCAAGGGAGTTCCCCCTCCCCAAGTGGGCACAGTGCGCGATCTGCGCCGGAGGCGAGTCTGGGGAGACTCGGCTGCACCTGGCAGCACTTTTTCATGCCCAGGCACCAGGACCCACCCCGGGGCCTCCACCGCGCCGCACTGGCTGAGGCCCTGGGACGTGGCAGGCTAGGGCCAGGCTGCCACAGCTGTGCTAACCCTCCCGCTCTCCCACAGACCAGGTGAAGGGCGTACGGACGCCTGGGCGGGCACCTGCACACTCTCCTCGTGAGCCTGTCTGGGCACCATGGATGCAGCCCCAGGGTGCGGGCGGTGGCACTGGGCATGTGCACGCGGCTGCTTGCGTGCTTCTGTGGGTGCTCGTGTTTGCTCGTGCATCATGCTGGTG